AAATGGAATTGATAGAATCTGTAAATAGGAGCTTTTACAGCATACCTCTAACAATATGACAATGGAGAATTGAAACTAGAAGGTTTTACTGATTCTGGTTTTCAGTCCGATAAAGATGACTTTAAATCCATGTCTTGTTACTTGTTTACTCTGAATGGAGCAGCAGTTAGTTGGAAAAGTTCCAAACAAGAAATAATTGTTGACTCTACAACAAAAGCTGAATATATTGCTGCATCTGATGCTGCAAAGGAAGCTGTTTGGATAAGGAACTTCATCCAAGGGTTGGGTGTAGTACCATCTGTTGTTGATCCAATAACGATTTATTGTGATAACAATGGGGCTATTGCGAAAGCAAAGGAACCAAGATCTCATCAAAGATCTAAACACATTATGAGACGATACCATTTGATTAGAGAAATCATTGGTAGAGGAGACGTCATAATGGAGCGAGTCGACTCAGCAGAAAATATCCTGTGACGCTGCTACTGGCTGATTCATTCGGACTGGCTTGCTCATTCTCCGGTAGGAGTTACACAACAATCTGCACTCCCGCATTGCGCTATCGTTGTCCTTTCCTTTCCTTACTATTCGTTCTACCGTTACTGAGCATACTATCTATCGCGAATACACCTGGGACGGAAAGGCTGATCATCCTCTCGGACCAGCTACTTATCATGGCCTTGGTAAGCTATTGCCTCACCAACTAGCTAATCAGACGCAAGCCCCTCCTCGGGCGGATTCCTCCTTTTGCTCCTCAGCCTACGGGGTATTAGCAGCCGTTTCCAGCTGTCTAGAGCTTGGCTAGACACGGACTAGACTTAGCTCTTGCTTGTGATGTACCTTGAATACCTAGGGAGCCCGTATCCAAGCTCCGTGGCTAGCTCTTTCTAGGAGTAGGGGGAGACCACACCTAGACATGATGTTCGGGCATGAGAGGCGGTGGTTTACCCTGCGGCGGATGTCAGCGGTTCGAGTCCGCTTATCTAGCAGACCCCTTAACTAAGCCTTTATCACAGAAAGTGTTTGAAGGACATCTTGAGAAGATGGGTCTAAGATACATGAGTGATTGGAACTAGGGCAAGTGGGAGATTGTTAGAGTAGGATACCTGGCGTTCCGATCAGATTGGACGTATTCTACTTGTAAATACAATCTATTGGAATTATATTGAATAATAAGGCATTACTTTATTTTAAGAGTAAGCATTTATCATATATTTGCACTTAAGATAAAATCCCTAGATCACTTATAGCTATAAGATATGGTTGCGCATAGAGATGGTGATCATGGAACATATCTTGAAAGTTGTGATCTTAAATACAGTTCCAGTCGTTGGATATTTCGAGATGGGATATCGAATAAATCCGGAAAGACTTGCACATAGTATGTATGCTT